GATATTTGATGTAGTTAGTAGTAGATGTCGTCGCTTAGGTGCTTGGGTAATACTGAAGTTGCCTTGGAAGCACCACTATGTCTTATAATCACTAATCCCATCTGCGCTTCGCTCTCAACTCCAACACAAGAGTACTAGTTTCACCTTGAAAGTTTACAGGACGACCGTCTTGATCTAAAGCCAACACTGTGATGTTGGTTATTTCTTGTTTCGGTATAACAGGTAGATATAGTTAAATTTACAGGTGTTTCGACTATAGCGTATCCAGGATCGGCTGTCACAGCAAATTCGTAGATCGTGTGTGCAGGCGTGTCTCCGTCAAAGGCTCCCGACGTAATGTTAGCATCAAAGTGTATGGTTGATACTTTTATTATGTTTACAGGTAAATCAGAAGAATGCTTTTGACCAGGATTAAGAACTTTTTTCGAGAATCCCAATAGATGTCCAAGATTATTCGGTTCTGTAAAAACTATTTTATAATACTTGCTAAAGATTTCACATTGCAGTGTATTATTGTTAGGTTTTAGAGAAAAATAATCATCCGGAGGAGCAACTTCATTTCAAGATTCATTTGCGTTCGTATAAATGTTTCTATGTCGGTAATTTCATAACAACCTGTCGGAAACTCGATGACTTTTAATTGACCACCACCACCACCACCACCTATCCGGTCGATATAATAAAATTTATCTCCTTTTTCAATATTCGGTATGGAATTGTATGAAGTAAAAGACCTAAGCGCCAATTCATAATCTTTTTTCGGATCCAACACTATCGGTGTTGAAGGACGAAATGAAAATATATGAGTAGTGCTATTGACTCTCAACAACTGCGACATGATGAATGAAAAAATATAGCTGTGTACTAAGCATTTATTCAAGTTTTTTTTTTGTTTATTTTCGAATGGATAATTTACAGAAATAACAATTTGCTTGAGCAGTAGCCGGTCCATCCCAATGTGTTGCCCAATCAGGTCTGTTGTAGTGAACATAGCATGGAAGTCGTATTTGAAGATCAAAATTGGATGTGTATTCTGCAGGCAGTTTGTGCCATATACTCAATAATTCTGCCGGTCTCACATTGCTTATTAAATATTCCAGCGGCGGAATATTCTTCTCAAACTCTTCTAATGTAAATTCCGATAATGTTTTATTATCCATCGTTGTTGGTTGTTATTGTTTAGAAATTTCAAACACAATTGTCCGCAATTAACTTGATTATAAAGTTTGGTAAGGATCGTTGTTGTAGAAAATTTTAGCGTTTTCAGATATCGAACAAGTTCCTGTGGAGGCTTCAGGTTACAAATGAATCGAAATACTCAACGTTGTTGTTTATCTTTTTATAAGCTACCCAATGAGTTCCGTTGTTTTGTGAAATATCTAAGTTCACGACGGCGCATTCTCTTTTACGTGGACCGTCTCGTGGTAAAGTGTCACGCATGAAGACACCTCGGAAATGAGGTATGTTCAAGAGCGTCGCATATTGCTTTATTTCATAATCATAAAGCGCTTTCTTGGGTAGCTTGATGTTTAGTTTTTTTGAGTTTTTTTTTGAGGTACAACCCATAACCACCTTTAGCATTTTTTCTCAAATACAATCCTTGGCCCAAAGACTCCATAGCTTTGTTATGGCGATGGTCTTCCTCCAATTTCTTTTGTGCATTCTTGGCATCAACGACCGTTTTGGCCACACCTGCAGCTCCCCCTGCGAGCGCCCCCAAGGCACTTAATCCGGCGAAAAGGGGGATCAAGGGTAGGAATCCCCCAGATTTTCCTTCGATCGGAATTATTCTCGGTAGTCGAACTTTATGTTTTCCACCTGCACTCTTCACCGCTAATCTTGCCGCTTTAAGAGCAACCAATGCAGACTTTTTTAATGTCGTGGTGGGGGGAGCATTTTTCTTCAAGGACTTTGTGATTTTCGTGAGAACACCTCGTCGAAAAGATGATTTCTTCTGCCCCATACCCAATTTTCGCTTAACTTTCATTGCGGTGGTTGTTAGCCAAGCTGCAGTCTTTTCTCCTAGTGAAGCGTCAGGTGCTTTTACACGTTCCCAGGCTCGGTTCTCAAGAATCCAATCAGCTTTGTGCCTGTCTTCAAATTTTTGTATAAGGCGTATGCAATATCGTGGTCTCTTGCAGCACGATCCAATGGTTTCTTTCCAGGATCTCCTCGTGCTAACCTCTTCTTTAATTTAGTCCCCGCTGAAAATATACATATACATGTGTGAGAATGAAAAAAAAATATCCTAATCTGTCGCACACTTACGTCCCAGGAACTGATACGAAGGTACGTGGAGTTCTATCGGAAGATTATTTATCAGAGAGTTTACAACACCTTCACCCTTGTACGTTAACATGAGAACTGTTGATGATGCGTTAGCAATATCTACATATATACTTTTACACATTCCTTATTCGAACGCCACACGATGAAGGTTGTTCAACAAGAGCAGTCATTACCCATTGATAACTTGGATTTTACAGCAAAAACTCAACATAGTAAACATGGTAAATTGTTACCGAATTCGTTTCGCGCTATCATCTGCGGACCAAGCGGATGTGGAAAAACGAACGTAATGCTGGCGCTGCTTTTCCATCCAAACGGTGCTAAGTTTAAAAATGTTTACGTTTATTCAAAATCGTTGTATCAACCAAAGTATCAACTGCTTCAAGAAGTGATTTCCGCTGCTAAGGGTGTTGGCTATTTCCCATTTAAGGATAACGAGGAAATTATAAGTCCAAGTAAGGCTAAAAATAGCTCTATATTTATATTTGACGACGTGTCGTGTGACGGTCAGCAGAAAATTCGAGAGTATTACTCCATGTGTCGTCATAAAGATATCGATGCTGCATATCTCTGCCAAACATACTCTAAAATTCCAAAACAGCTCATACGAGACAACTGTAACATTATAGTACTATTTAAGCAGGATGAAATTAATCTAAAACATATATTTGATGAGCATGTATCTCCAGATGTTACTTTTGATGAATTCAAAAAGATGTGTTCGGAATGTTGGGCAGAAAAGTACGGTACGTTAGTTATTGTTAAAGACTTTCCTCTTAATTATGGTCGATACAGAGTGGGATTTGATAAGTACATAAAATTGTAGGCTTATCATGTACGCCATCATTCAGTAACATGATGTCAAAGGACCAAGTTGCCGTTGCTAGTCATAAAAGAAAGATCGCAGAACTTGCTCGAGCTATACGTAAAAAGTATCTTACTTTAAAGTTAGGTCGAACTGCAGAAGATGAATCTATTAGAAAACTTTTCAAACCAATATCTGAACCTCTTAAGCAAATAGCTAAGACTCAGCAGCATCCTTCATTTATTATTAAAAAAGAGGAAAAATTGAAACAGGATGATGATGATGATGATGATGTATTCACACAGAACCCAAACTATCTCAATTTAGAAGACGTGGCTTCAACTGATGAACAAGGTAATATACCGCCGAGACCTGAAACACCACCACTACCTGAAGAAATGCGTCCTGCTGATTTTT